GACCGGGGCACGAACCCGTGTCCCCTGCATCGGCAGGCGGACTCTCAACAACTGTGCCACCAGGGAAGCCCCCCACTTTTATAAGTAATGGGCCTGGTGGACTTCTCAGTTATTCTTGTTCATTGCCATGTAGAATATTAGAAAGAATTTCCAGGAAGCAGCATAGTGGAATGCAGAGAGTAAATGTCAAGTATAGTTAGTAGTTAATAGAAGTATAGTTAATTTACAATGTTGTGTTAGTTTCTGGTGTACAGCAAAATGATTCAGTTATAGATATATATATATGTGTGTGTGTGTATATTTATATACACACACATATATACACATACACATATTCTTTTTCATATTCTTTTCCATTATGGTTTTTTATATGACATTGAATATAGTTCCTTGTGCTATACAGTAAGACCTTTTGTTTATCTATTTTATATATAGTAGTTTGTATCTGCTAATCCCAAACTCTTAACTTACCCCTCCCCTACCCCCTTTCCCCTCTGGTAACTGTAAGTTTGTTTTCTATGTCTATGAGTCTGTTCATTAATAAGTTCATTTGTGTCATATTTTAGATTCCACATATAAGTGATGTCATATTTATCTTTGACTTACTTCACTTAATATGATAATCTCTAAGCCTATCCATGTTGCTGCAAATGGCATTATTTCATTCTTTTTATGGCTGAGTAGTATTCCATTGTGTGTGTGTGTGTGTGTGTGTGTGTGTGTGTGTGTGTGTGTGTAACATCTTTACCCATTCATCTGTCAGTGGACGTTTAGGTTGCTTCCATGTCTTGGCTCTTGTAGATAGTGCCACTATGAACATTGGGGTGCATGTATCTTTTAGAATTATCATTTTCTCTGTATATATGCCTAGGAGTGGGATTGCTGGATCGTATGGGAAAATTTTAGTTTTTTAAGGAATCTCCATACTGTTCTCCATAGTGGCTGCACCAATTTACATTCCCACCAACAGTGTAGGAGGGTTCCCTTTTCTCCACACCCTCTCCAGCATGTTATTTGTAGACTTTTTTTTTTGTGGTACGTGGGCCTCTCACTGATGTGGCCTCTCCCATTGTGGAGCACAGGCTCTGGACGCGCAGGCTCAGCGGCCATGGCTCATGGGCCCAGCTGCTCTGCAGCATGTGGGATCTTCCCGGACTGGGGCATGAACCTGCGTCCCCTGCATTGGCAGGCGGACTCTCAGCCACTGCGCCAGCAGGGAAGCCCTGTAGACTTAATGATGGCCATTCTGACTAGTGTGAGGTGGTACCTCATTATAGTTTTGATTTGCATGGAAGAAATTTAATTTTAAAATTATGTTAATATAAATTTTGTCAGCTAGTTTAAGAGCCTGTGGTTAACTCTTAGTTTAAAACAGAGGTTTTCAAACTCTTCCTCAGAAGCCTAGGAGTTTTTTTGGAGGGCCACTGAGAAGGGACAGTGCTGCTAGTAGGAAGAACATTAGGCCCTCTCTATCAGGTCTACTTTTATCCAGTTTTAATTATTTAAAATATAAGTACTGCAACCATTGTTTAGCTCTTGATTATTTACAGTTTTATTGATGTATAGTTGACATACATGTATAGTTGCATCCCACATCCCACGGCATGTGGGATCCTCCCAGACCAGGGCTCAAACCCGTGTCCCCTGCATTGGCAGGAGGATTCTTAACCACTGTGCCACCAGGGAAGTCCTATTTCACTAATCTTTTTTGTGTGTTATAAATATAACACATATGCTAAGTATGATAAAAACCATAAATGTCAAGTATAATGAATGATTATAAAGTGAACACCCATGCAACAGTCAAGAAACAGAACATTCACCAGCACTCCAAAAGGCCTCCCCCACATACCATATGTGTCTTCCCCCATTAGCCTGACTTATGTTAATCACTTACTTGTTTTTTAAAATAGTTTTGCCAGTTTTGTGTGTACGCCTAAACCAAGATAGTTTAGCCTATTTTTGAACTTTATAAAAATGGAATCATATTGTATATGTTCTTTTTAATTCTTCTTTTGTTCAACATTATGTTTGCACTGTTCATCTATGTTGTTGTGTGTAGGTCCAGGTCATTTGTTTTCATTGGTGTCTAGTATTCCTCTATGAATGTTCCATAATCCATTTGTCTGTTCTACTAGAGATTGGCATTTGGGTTGTTTCTAGTTCTTGGCTGTTGTGAGCTACTGCTGTGAACATTCTTGTATGTGCATCCTCATTCGCTTGTGTGCAGGTTTTCTAGAAGCAATATCCAAGAAGTAAAATTGCTGGGTCCCAGAGTAAAACACATCTAACCATGTGAATGGAGCCTCTGGTGTTGTATAGTGTGCAACTTTGATAGAGAATGTATATTTCAACTTTAGAAGAAAATGCCAAACTCTTTTCCAAAGTGCTTGTACCAGTTTATACTCCCACCATTAATGTATGAGAGTTCCCCCTCTTCCATATCTTGACCAGTTTTGGGTAAGTCAGATTTTTTATTTTTGCCAGTATAGTGTATAGAGCTCTTAATGTGGTTTTAATGTTTATTTTCCTGATTACTAATGAAGTTAAACATCTTTTCCTTTGTTTATTGGCCATTTATATTTATTTTTTGAAGTGCTTATATGTATCTTTGGTTCACTTTTCTATTGGACAGTCGGTCTTTTCCTATTGACTTGTAAGAGTTATTTATATATTCTGGACATGAGCCATTTGACAGTTATATGTGTTGCAAATGTCTTCTTCCATTCTATGTCCTCTTTCCATTTTCCTCTAGTTTCTTTTTATGAACTGACAAACTTAATTTTAATATAGAGAGTATAGTTAAAGATGTAGAGATTTATAGTTAGTGCTCTAAGTGTCTTATGAAACCTTTCTCTAGTCACAAATTGTAAAGTTATTCTCTTTTCTTATAGCTGTACACTTTTTCCTTTCGCACTTAGTCTGATATACCTGCAGTTGTTTGATTTTTTTAATGTGGTATAAGTAAAGGACCATTTTTACATTTTCCGTCATAGATACCCAGTTATCTCAGCACCATTTTTTGAAAAATCTATTTCCCCTCTGCTCGTAGTGCTACCTCTGTCATGAATTGAATATCTGTGTGTGAATGGCTCTGTTACTGGACTCTCTTTTCTATTCTTTTGGTCCAGTTGTCTCTCCCTGCACTAGTACCCTACTGTTTTCATTATTTTAACTTTAAAATAAACTTTGGTATCTAGTTGATGGCTTCCCACCCTTTATGTTTCCATGTGTATTGAATCAGATTATCAAGTTACACAGCACATGCACACACACTACATACTGAGATTTTTTTTGTTCATTAAACATAGGATCAATGAGGAAAATCAGCATCTGTAATGTTGGGTCTTCAAACTCCAAATACAGCATAGCTCTCCATCTGGTTAGATTCCCTTTAACATTTCTAATAAAGTTTCATAATTTTCCTATAGGGATTATTGTTGGATGTATTCATAGTATTTTATCTTTTATACATTTATAAATTATCTTTTTAAAATTTCATTTTCCAACTATTTCAGGAACAGAGAACTACAATTGATTTTTAAATATTAACTTTGCAGTTAGCAACCTTGCTAGAAACTCTCTGATTAACTCTAGCAGTATATCTTTAGATTATTTTGGATTTTTATGCTGATGATCATATCATCTGTATATAACAACAGTTTTGGTCAGATATACCTGTTTTTTCTTGCCCAACTACATATGCCACAATACAGGGCTGAGTAGAAGTGGTGATAGGAAGCAGCCCTTTCTTATTCCAGATTTCAAAGGGAAAGCATTTAATGTTTCACCATTAAATATGATGTTTGCTACCATTACTATAAACAAATCTAAACTACCCTTGAGTATATCTTTTTCATCCTTTTATTTTCAACACTTCTGTGTGTTTGAAGTGAACCTCTTGTAAATAGCATATAGCTGTACTTCTTATTTTCATGGAATTTGACCCCCTTGCAGGTTTTTTTTTCTTTTTTGCGGTACGCGGGCCTCTCACTGCTGTGGCCTCTCCCGTTGCGGAGCACAGGCTCCGGACGCGCAGGCTCAGCGGCCATGGCTCACGGGCCCAGCCGCTCCGCTGCATATGGGATCTTCCCGGACCAGGGCATGAACCCGTGTCTCCTGCATCGGCAGGCGGACTCTCAACCACTGCGCTACCAGGGAAGCCTGACCCCCCTTGCAGGTTTTAATAGTGGGTTTATTGTGATTACAAATATATTTAGAAGTCTTCTGCCTATCTTCTTTTGTATTTTCTATTTATCATATTTTTCTATGCTACTTTTTTCTTTCCTATTTTTTGGGGGGGTATTGAATTTCTCTCTTTTTTTTTTCTTCTTCCCTACTGATTTGGAAGTTTTATA